CTTCCCTTCCCTTCCCCTCCCCTCCCCTCCCCTCCCCTCCCCTCCTTTCCCTGTGGGCAGATGTGGGGCTCCAGGGCACTGCGAGTCCCTGGCATTGGCCGTGTCCCACTCGGGCGACACAGTCCCTGCTCAGCCTCACGGACACGGCAGGGACAGGAGGGGGATTAAAATGATTAATTCCCACCTGGGCCCCCCTCCCCAGGGGCTTAGAGGTACAAGCGAGAAACGGAGCCAGGAGGGAATTTCTGAAACAACTTTATTGTAGCAAAATCTTGTGCCTGTCCCAAGGGGGCAAAGGGAGCCGGAGCCACCTGGCCCAAACCTGGGGCACCCCAACTGCTCCTCCCAGACCTGGGGCAGGTCACCCCACCTCCAGGCCAGCAGCTTTAGTGTCAATACAAACCACTGGGGAAATAAAAGAGAAACACCAGCACGAGACACTGGCTTCGCTCTGGTTTGGCACATGAATCATTCGACACTCTCCGCCGCTGACACATACGTTCCTGTTTGCCGCCACGAGCAATGCTTCCCGTTAGTGAGCCAGCCCAGGGATGATGCCCTGCCCTGAAATATCTGCCCGGCAAGGCGGTGCCTGCAGCCGCTGCATTCTCCTTGGGTCTTCCCCCCACCACAGGTTCATCATCAGGGCTGCAAGCAGCAATTGCCTTGTGCGTAACGCCCGGGGCCGGGTGTCACCAGCTCCCTGGGCAGCCAGGGTGCACGGTGCTGCTGCCATTAAGGAAGGGCTGCGCTTGCTGATATTTTCATTTTCAAACCACATCCTGCTGGAGCAGAGGGATCTGGCAGAGCTCGGCTGACCTCAGCCAGTCGCTTGTGCCGGGCAGGGAGGGGAAGGCAGTAGCAGGCTCCCTGGCTGTGAAACACCCACACGGGGGCTCAGGCAGGCAGAGATCCCATCAAAATCTTCCTCCAAAAGCATTGTCGGTGCATGACCCCGCTGCAAGAGCATCAAGAGGCCCCACCAGACCAAGTGCAGTGGTCAATTCCCAGGAGGCATCAGCCAGCAAGTGGTTCATAGCTTGCTTGCGCTGGGTGGACCACTCCGCACCCACGCCCGGGCACGGCCGGAGGGGTACACCCCTGCGGGGAGCACCCGCTGCCTGGCACAAGATGCCCACGAGCCTGGCAGCCCCAGGAGCCCGGGGGTTTCATGCCTGGCTGGCAGCACGCTGAGCCCAGCCGCCATCGGTGCTGGGCTGGCATTTCGCCATCGCAGAGCAGCACTGGTGTCCCTCGGCACTGGGCCCTTAGTGGCACCATCAGCAGGTGTTCGTCACCACTGTGGACAGGGCTGCACATCCTGGGGTGAGGAGGGGACTGAGGTGGCACCAAGGATGATCACTTCCTCCCTGCCACAGGTCCTGGCGGGTCCCCAAGGCTCAGCCACCTCTCAGAGCTGGGGGCCACGCCGCCTGTCCAGCCAGTCCTGCCGCAGCCGGGCCACCTCCTGGCCATACCGCTCATGGAGCCGGCAGAAGATGGACGGGCTCTCCGCTGCAGCCGCCCCAGCACTGCCTGCCTCGCTGCTCGATGCCCACCTGCGTGGTGGCAGCGGCGGTGGCCGCGGGTTCCCCTCACCATCATGCCTGCCGCAGCCGGAGGCGTCAGGCAACCGGTCCACTCCTGGCACATTGTTCCACACCGCACAGCCGTTCTCCTTCGGCAGGACGGCGGGCAGAGCTGGCAGCCGCTCCGGGGACCGCTCTGGCCCCGAGGGCTTTGGCTTCCAGGAGCCAGGTGACTGCCGGAAGCCTCCACATCCACCGGCCGGCCCCCAACGCATCTCCTCCAGCTGCTTCTCCAGCTCCCGCACCACCAGGCGCAAGTAGTCGAAGCTGGCTCGCGGACTTCACCCACGACTCCATGGCAGCCTGGCTCTCAGCCGCCAGCACATAGGTGCGAGACTTGGCACCGCCGAAGCGGATGGCAAAGGTGAATTCCTCAGCTGAATCGCAGAGCTCCACGGTGCAACCCTCCAGCACGATGACGCCCACTGGCTCCCGGCTCTCCCGCTCCTCGAAGTAGAAGAGCATGTTGCCCTTCAGCACGAACCAGCGGCGATGGTACGCTGTGTGCCGCTCACCACGCTTGTAGAGAAAGCCGGCGTTGTCAGCCGGGGAGTCGCAGGTGGCATAAAAGGCCAGGCTCCGCTCGTTCAGCTTCATGGCTCTGCACCCTGCAGGGACAGAGGGTGCTCAGCTGCCCGCTGGCTCACCAAGGATGGGTGCACCTTAACTGCATGGTAGTAATAAGCCAGTGGCTTTTTGTTCCCAGCGGCACCGGCCCTGGAGCTCAGGAAATGGAGCCAGTGAATAAACAGCCCCGTGACTGCAGCCGGGATAACCCCACTCCCAGCCAAAGTGCTGCATCCAGCGGGTGCCGGGTGGGTCGGGGCTCCCCGGCTCTCCCTGGGGAGGTGGTTTCCCCCCAGCTGAACGTCCTCCCACAGAGGAGCCCCAGACAGGGCTCGTTCCGGTGCCCCACGTCACCCGGCACAGGTGACCTTACCGCCAGCACCGTGTTTGCCCTGTGTCGCGGCACTCCTCCCCGCAGCACGCAGGGAGGGTTTATGGCCTGTGCCGCAGATCCGGCTGCCACTCCGGAGAGCCGTGGCCATAGACTGTCACCCGGACAAGGCCACCTCTCCCCTTCTCCCCTAATCACCGGTGGGCTCACCATGCCAGGCTTTCCACCTACCTGGACTCTGCCTCTAGCTCCGGTCTTCAGCGGCCGCCAGCATCAGCGACGCATGGGTGGCTGTGGCGGCTGTGGGAGCACTGGATCCGGGGTTGGCCGGCGTAAGGGGGCCGTGGGGGCCGGCACCCCGGTGGCCCCGCTCCGGCCGCTGGCTC